AGATAAATGCAATTCCAAAATCCAATGCCAAGAAAAAAACTGAACAGAAATTACTTTTTTTTATTATTATTATTATTTTTGAAACAATTCATGGTCCTTGGGGTATTTAACAAATGTATTTCTAGTAAACCTCTGACCTATTAAATTGCGGAAAAATATATACTGTATACTTTGAATCAAACAATGGGTTAATTTTAGTCAGATGCTCATCCATAGTGGCAAGAATAAGCTGACTGTACACGTATGGCATAAGATAAATGGAGGATAGTCATGATTTGCGTTATTTGTATTTGCTAAAATATCATTTCTGGGTGTGTTCAAATTTCTTCTTGCGGGTTTGGTGGATCCAGATTTGAGGGGCTGAGTGTTTTTGTTTCTGCCAGCACACTTTAAAGTGTGTGTGTGACATGAATCTGAATAAGCCTTTAGCCTCCACACTATCTCCTCCACAGTGAAATGTTATAGTCTTCATGGAAGAGCTATAACAAAGCCAGATCACATTAGACATGTCCTGGAGACAGACAGACACAAGTACACACACACACACACACACACACACGTACACACGCGCACACACAAAATCCATAAATGGAGAGAGCAAAAGGGGTCTTTTGTAGCTAGGCAGAAGTCATCAAGGTTTTCCTCACCTCTATAGTACACTGTACCGGCCATTTTTGGTTTTGCGGCGTGGCATTTATTGACCTGTCGCGTGACATTTAATTTAGACTGTAGCTACTTGCCATTTGTTCAATGATGTTTACACTACGCACCTGCCACCATCCACACAAACCCATCCTAGCACATGCATCCCTACCTCAGCAATCACTTTACAAGTGTACGGAATTATGTAACACTTTTACATTTAAGGTTGGAATATTTTATCGAGGTTATAGATACAGAGGTTCTGTGGACCATATCAGTGAAATTGTGTGTGTGATTTAAAAAAAATATATATTGAGAAAGATCACTTTAAATGAGTGGTACAGCAAGAAGAATACTTTCTTCGACATGGTGAGCAAATGCGGAATATTTCGCTCTGACCTTTAGCGGCACTTGTTTTGTCACCAGATTTTATGGCCCAAAAAGCTGACTGTTGCAAGGCGAGCTTCAGCTACACTGCCACCCAAAGCAAACAGAACAATTCAGATACTCGCTTGTGAACAAGAACAAGAAGAACCACAGTAGCAAATGGCTTCTTCGAAGTTTATTGAAAGGGACAGTCAGGCATACAGATGCAAAATGAGAACACGTCAAGGAGCTGCACGACCAGAAATAACACCCGATACTAGTCACAGACACATGAACACTACACTTCGTAGTTTATTTGCATTCTCTTTACTTTGTGTGTGTGTGTGTGTGTGTGTGTGTGTGTGTGTGTGTGTGTGTGTATATAAATGTATATTTTCTGTGCAGACAAAATCCAGTTATGAACAACACCCTGAAATGGCGCCAGCTTCTCTGCGGCCGAAATCATCTAAGATGGAGTGATGCAAAGTGGAAAAAGTGTTCTGTGGTCTGACGAGTCCACATTTCAAATTGGTTTTGGGACGTGTGGACGTCGTGTCCTCCGGGCCAAAGAGCGAAAGTACCATCCGAACTGTTATGGACGCGAATTTCAAAAGCCAGCATCTGTGGTACTTCTAGTGGAAAGAAATGTCTGTATTTAAACATTTATTGGGAGTCTGTACTTAGTAAAATTTTTATTTGATATATCCAAGCACAGTGTTTAAGTTTGAACTGTGCATAACGCAGAGATGAAAGTCCTCCGGATTTTCCCGGAATTCCGGGTTTTTCAAATTTTTATGAAAATTATTCCGGAGAATTGAGGAAAATTTGCATAATCCTCATATTAGTTGACAACATTGAACGAAGACGCGTTTGAGTTCGTTGTATTGCTTTCACGAGCTTAGCCATATTGAGGCACTACCACTAGTAACAGTAAAGAGATTTTTGTTTGTGTAATAACGACAGAAGACATGATGGCGTTTGAACAAGACAGTTGTCGTAAAAAATATATTTGGCCAAAAAGGGAAAAACACAGATTGGCAGAAAATCGTGTCCGTCCGACTTCGAGTGTCGTCTCGGCTAACTTAGCTTAGCTGTTGTCGTGTGTGACGTCATTTGCGTCGGCGCTGATTGGTTGAAATCAAAAGACGCGCTTGCGTACATGTTCGCGCTGAAACCCGTACAGCAGAGAGCAGCGGACTATCTACTGCTGAGTGCTGAGGCTCGCTTAGCTTGAGTGGAGTCGCCACAACAGTAATACCCTCGCCTCGCATTCTCATGGCCTCGCCATATCTTGGAGATTTCGAAATTTCGGCCCGAACGGAAGCCACAAACGGTACACGTGTGCACACAAAAGGAAGATTAATCATTGAATGTCGAGTATTTGAATAGCGTTTTGTGTAAACTAATTCATGCTTGATCGGCCAAGTGCGTGCGTGTGTGTGTGTGTGTGTGTGTGTGTGTGTGTGTGCGTGCGCACACACACACACACACACACACACACACACACACACACACACACACACACACACAGATTTATTTATTTATTTATTTTTTTCGGAATTTTCAGAAAAGTCCACTTTCATCTCTGATAACGTTGCAGTGGCTTACAATAATAAATACAGGTACGGTATATTTTAGAAATCAAACCTATGCCTCATTTTTTCATAACCCTAAATATCCTGCAGTGATGACGTGGCAATCAAATAAGTGTCAACCTGACTTTCTACCATCATTTAAATCAATCTCATCTATTCGAAGTAGCAAAGCCATGTTTCTCAGCTATCATCAGCCTGGCTCAGGATCAAGACTGTCAATCATCCACCGAGCCCCTTGAAAGCCTTCCCTCTTGTTCTGTTCTCTTGTGTAGATCATCAGCTTATTCATGCCAACCCTAACTCAATCACAGACTTCCACCAGAACAGCAACGAATTACTGCAGGCAAAATTACAGTCATTTGTCTCAGTCGACGCATGTCGTATTGGCTCTCCTTTTCTGTCTTTTTATACCAGAGCACCTGAACCATTGTTAACATCTCTCTCCTCCTCCACAATGTGTTGGGCTCTTTTGTCGGCTATCATATTTGGAGACAGTAAGCCGCCAGTCGGCACAGACCACAGTCAAATGGTTCTGTTTGTGTATCGTTGGAGTTGTCATGAATGTAGACGGACAACCTTTTGGGTTTGCGGCAGGTCACCTCTGCATCACATTTGTAATGTGGGATATGTGACTTGTGAGCTGTGGCTGTCATTAAGGCACGCGGGGGTGGGGCTTAATTGCAGCTCTTTCATCTCACACTGAATTGCCACTTTCAGTTCGAGCCAGAGAAGGACAAGACGTCAGCAGTCGGCCTCATGCGTATCGCCACTGTTCACAAGTGACTCTTATTTTTGACAATTAAATACCTTTGTGAACGTGGGAAATTATTGACCTTTTCATTGAATTTAGATTCTTTCATTTTTATTCGGAGAACACCATGAAAGCAATAAAACCCAACAATAAATGTTTTCCAAGTTGCATTTCTATCACACATAACTGTGTTTGCTAACTGACGCAAATAATGTTAGAGGTGTTACGATTCAGAATCATTTTTAATTTGTTTGCCATCCCCCATTTTTCTTTTGTTTCACATCAAAAATAACAGTCATCTCTTCCATAATGATACAATTTAACACATGGACTAAAAAGTGAGACAAGAAAGAATCAGGAACACATGAATTATACATGTACAAATACTTCAGATGAAGTTGTTTATTTGCCTTGCACAGTAAAAACACAACGGTTGCAGTGACCAATGAAATTCTTACTTTGTTAGTCTTTCTCCACGATCGCAAAGAATAAAACAAGAATTTTACAAAAAGACAGGGTCTGACATTAGTGATACTCGGATGGCCCTGGGCCAGTATTTTTTATTTTTTAAACATGCAAAACAACTACTGTACAGATGTAATATCATTGACAAAATCTCCTTTTTACACCATGCATTGTTCCAAGTAAGCAGAAACGAGTGCTTTAAAAATTCTGGAAACAACTGTCTACTTTTTCTGCCAGACTTTTAAATGAGCAACCTGTGCTTGTGAAGTCTCCATTAGGGAATCCTTGGTTGATGTTTGCATCGGAGGAACCCAATTGCCTCTGAAGATTTGAAGCCTTGAAATCCTCTAATGAAGTCAAACAGGCAGAATGGACTGCCAATACGTTCATCAAAACTGTGTTAAAATGTCTTTTTTTTTGTTTTTGGTATTTTCCCCTCCGATTTCTAGAGCAAATTGATTACACCAACACTACTCAACGTTTTTCACTCCGTCATTTGCGTCAAAGCGCTTGCACATGATCGGCACAAACTTGGTACTTTGATTGACAAATGTAATCTGTTCCATTGCGTTCGAACGGGTCCTCACCCACACTGCGCTTGCTCAATAGGCATGAAGGGTCCATGCAACCGCATGCTCATAGGTGTAAGTGCTGATAGAGCAGCCTACCAGAAAATAAAAATGATGTGCTATGTTTTGTGGGTCCATGTGAGGTCATTGCGGAGTTTGATGTGAGTACCAAGGAATTGAAAAATGTGACTGACGACAAAAATTTTCATTCTTGCTCTTTTGTTCGTGTGTGTGTGTGTGTGTGTGTGTGTGTGTGTGTGTGTGTGTGTGTGTGTGTGTGTGTGTGTGTGTCTTAAAACCAGAAGGGTGGCATTGTGAATAAAAAATGTTTCATGAAACATCACAGATTTTTCTATTTCCTCTAAAATTAACCACTGAAACAATCATCCTCCAGTTTTTGGAGGGGTTGTATGTGTCACATGCCAGCACTCGGGAATCTGAAGGCCCTGGGCCGTTTAGATTGACTTGGCAACACATTCAAGATGAACTCTGATTAGACACACAAAAAAAAAACAAAAAGATTAATAACCAACACACAACATAAAGCTGGGCATCCAAGGCACACTACGTTCATAACCAGTCTTTTTTTATTTTTGTTCACATTTATTACAGACAGAGGTCATCAAGGGTGCGTGTGGCAGCGTGGGAATGACGTTCAGGCATGTGCCTGCCAGTGAGGGAGAAGCAGTCCATGTAAGCATCGAGACGGTGACGCCGAACTCCCCTGCAGCCTTGGCAGACTTGCAGCGAGGTGATCGGCTCATCGCAATCGGAGGTTTGAGATGGCTTATTCGTTTTTTGCAGAAAGGATTGAGAAATAATGTTGCAATAAAAATCTGACTTGGAGAAAATCCGCTCATTGAAACCAAATGCAATATTGTAACAAATGTCATTCATGTTTTTTGAAATACTAATTGACGTCCATTTTCGACAGGTGTCAAAGTGACATCGTCAGTTCAAGTGCCCAAACTTCTGAAGCAGGCCGGAGACAGGGTAGTGGTCCTCTATGAGAGGCCGGTCCGCCACCAGACTCCGTCCCTCGGAAGCCTGGGAACTCTTCAGGAGGGATTTGGGCAGCTGGAAGAATCGGGCTTCATATCCCAACCTGGGGGATACGAAGAAGACCCGGCCCCCATCACCACTCTGTCTGACATAACTGACAGTAAAGACATGGACTCTGAATTTGAAGAGTTGATTGTGGACACCAAACCCAGCCCGAATGTGGGCCCCCTCAGCACCAGTGATACGAAGGATGATTTCCTTCTCACAGTAAACCAAAGCCCCAAAAAAACAGTGGCCAACTTGGCTTCGAAACCTCTTGGGACCATATCACCCATCCTCAACCGTAAGCTAAACCTGGTGGGCCTCCAATCACCACTAAAGGCCCAACCGAAAGAATCACCAAAGCCCTCCCGACAGAAAACGAGCAATGATTCAGGAGATAGTTTGCAGCGCCCCGCGATGCCCCCTCCACCGCCACCGTCTCGTCCCCCGGTGCCACCAAGACCTCAAATACGGTTGTCGTCTGCCGGTTCAGAGTCCATTTTTTTGGAAAGCGTTGATTCTACGACAAACACGACTCCCGTAATCTCTACTGCGACGGCCACTGTCAGTGCTTCAGAGAAATCTCCTGAAAAAGCTCCTCTGACAGGAGCCATTGAAGACGTGGCTGGCACCGAAAAGATGGGTGTCAAACCGAGTGAGGGGAAGTCCACTAGGCCGTCAGAGCCCAGCGATGACATTGGAATCGCATCCTTCACGGGTAGCAAGACAGACCAGGCAAAGGACAAAGTTTCCGAGAGCTCTTGCAGCACACGGGACAGTCTAGAAGAGCACCCCTTCTGGGAATCCCCAGAATCGATGTTTCGTCATCGGACAACTTGTTGGCCCAAGGCCTCTGTTGTGTTTGAGGTGGACAGCAACCACAAGTACCTTAATGTGGCCCTTTGGTGTAAAGATCCCTTTAAGCTGGGCAGTTTGCTATGCCTGGGCCATGTCAGCCTCCATCTGGAGCACGTAGCCCTTGAGTGTATGGCGACATCTTCAGCAGAATACCAGAGCACATTTAAGCTTGGGCCTCCAGAGCCTCGAGCTAATGTCAGCCGCACCGCACTACGCAGCCTCAGCACCCACAAAGGCTTCAATGAGAAGTTGTGTTATGGAGACGTTACTCTAAATTTCTGTTACCTCGCAGGGGATGATTTGGACTATCCTGGAATGGCCGAAAGGGAGCGAGAGGGGAGTCTCCACGATGATGATCTAAGGGAGCGGGAGAGGGAACAGTTCCCCACAGCCTCACGTGATGACTTGGCCTACGGTGCCATGCAGCTCATTGAGGTTCGCCACAACTTCCAGGACACCCAGTTCCAAAACCCGACCTGGTGCGAATATTGTAAAAAGAAAGTTTGGACCAAGGCAGCCTCGCAGTGTATGATCTGCGCTTATGTTTGCCACAAGAAATGCCAGGAAAAATGCCTTGCTGAAAGTCCCTTGTGTGTGGCACCGACCGAGCGTCGAGGAGCTGACCCTGAGGCCAAGTCCACTATTAATCGGGCCACAAGTGGCTTAACCCGCCATATCATCAACACGAGCTCCCGCCTGCTTAACCTACGCCAGGCCCCCAAGACCCGCCTGGTCGAGCAGGTCACGGATGCGGTGCCCGGAGCGGTGGATCCTTCCCCTAAGCATACTCCAAACACCTCAGACAACGAGAGCAGCGATACCGAGACCTACACCAGTGGTGCCAGCCCCTCCAAGCAACCCGTCGGCGGCGGTGGGGGAAGCGGTAAACTGGTTCGCAAGGAGGGCGGCTTGGACGATAGCGTGTTCATCGCCGTAAAAGAGATCGGCCGCGACCTCTATCGAGGTTTGCCCACCGATGAGCGTTCTCAAAAACTTGAGCTGATGCTGGACAAGCTGCAGCAGGAAATCGATCAGGAGTTGGAGCACAACAACGCCCTTTTGATGGAGGAGAGGGAGACCAGCGATCCCAGGCGGAAGGTGCTCATTAGTTCGGCCCTTTCCAAGTCCGGCGAAAGGCTGCAGGCACTCACTCTGCTCATGATTCACTATCGTGCGGGCATTGAGGACTTGGAGTCGGTGGAGAGCACCTCTCCTTCGGAGCAACAATGTTTGAAGGGCAGCGGGGACGGCTTAGAGGAGGAGGCCTTGATGGGAGCGGAGGTCTATGACAGTGACATATGCAGCCCGGCGGACTTGCAACTGTTGGATGACATCACTGAGGAGCAGATCTGTGTGGAGGCGCTCCACTAAATTGCACCAGAGAGCAGACAGAGGAGGAGGAACCGTTTGGACCCATGGCCCTTTTTTTTTTTTTGATGGGGGGTATCGCAAGTTGAAAGGGGGATACCGTCCATTGTTTTTCGTCACATCTCATGAAATACATGAAGGAATTTCCTCCTATGGATACTTGGTTGCACCTGTTAATGCTTTTATTTTGCACTGTGTCCATACTTTAGGTTTCAAAGGGAAATAGAATGCTTTAGTGTTGCTGGTTAATTGCTCGTTCATGATATTTTTTCTGATGGAGTGTCTCTGTAAAAAACTTTGCCCTTCTCAATGATGTCATCACACGCCGGAAATTTTTTTTGTGTGCAATGAAAGTAAAGTAATTGTTCAGTAGGAACTCGCTGTCAGGTTAAGGTCAAAACAGCTTCAGCAGATCACATGGGGGGAGGTGGGGGGGAGATCGTCTTTCGCGTGAACACTGCAGTCAAGCTTTCTTTCCTTTTTTTTGTTTGGAGCACTTTTAAAAGCAGACCGTTTAATATTCACAAATGACTCCTTTTGGGGGCATTTCAGCAACTGCAAGCTAACTGGGATGGATGTTATGTTTCTATTTTAGTTGGATCACTTCGGCCAAACATGTTTCACACGACCATATAAAACATGTTTTTGATGAAGATTTCAAGGTGTTTTTTTTTTTGTTTCATATTTTAAATAAATTCTTTCAATGTTTATTTTATAAATGTGATGTGGATAACTTGGTGGATTTGGACGAATCTATTCTGATTACTTTATGTTTCAGTTTGCTTTTATGTGGGAGGAAAATAAGAGATCTTAAAAAAAAAAGTTTGTCTGATGTAGTACATGCCATCTGCCTTCATGAGTGGTCATGAATGCCCAATATATTTCCCATATTGCGTTTGTTTTGTCAATACCTACATTACCAGTCAAACGTTTTGGAAGCAGGCACAAATTATTATTATTATTTTTTTTTTAATTGTAGATCAATAATTCATACCTCAGTCATTGACATTGTGAAGAAACACTGATGGAATTATTTGCTAAGAAAAACACCCCGAAAACAATGTTTTACAATTTTGATTTTTCAAAGTAGCCACCTTGTGCCCAGATAACTGCTTTGTACATCTTTGTATTTTCTCAGTCAGCTTGATGGGCATTATCAAGAGTTACGAACTTGAATTTGAAGGTGTTTCGAAACGTTCGACTGGTACTGCACCCCCATTATATTCCACACATTGATCATTTTTGTCTTCAGCCCTAAAAAGCCATCAGCTCCCTAAATGTTAGCCTTTTCTTGAATGCTCCTGGAAAGCCGCCACTTTTAGTCCATCCATTTTTAATACAAAATGATAAACATTCATTATTTCTGCGGTTATTGCCAACCTAGTGCCACTTCAAGTCTACACAAACACAGTTTGATTTTCCCATTAAAAATATTTGGGATCGGTTGGTTAGAAGTGTAATATTAAAAAAAAAAAAAAAAAACCACACTGTGAGCCCCAAAATAAAAATAGAAAAGCAACTTGGAGTAATCATTGGCTGAAATACTGCACAGAAATCTGGATAAGATCGTATTGATATTAACCACCGCCCCCCCCACCCCAATAGTATGTCTTCTTTGATGCAGCGTTGCCCGACATAGCTGCTGTACTTAATCTTTGTCAAGTTAAAGTCCAATTGTAAGTAGGTCAACAGTTGCAGGTCTGGCCTGCACCTGAAGAAACGCTCATAATCTTTCCCTCATCTTCTGTAATCATTTTCTTACTTCCAAATCGAATTATTCCAATATTTAAAAGTCAAATAGTTACCGCATTCAAGTCAAAGGAAGGGGGCGGGGTTGTAAGAGTACACAGACAATCACACGGTGAGGCGACCACCCTCACATATCATCACAATTCATGTCTGACTGTGAACCTGAAACGGTGAGCTACAAGGGACTGACAGCCATCTTCAAAACAATGCCCGCACGGTTGTTGATGCTGCGGAGGCGCAAGAATTAGCAACCGTTCCGTTGATCACCTTTTGATTGTTTTCCCACTGTACGTCTTACTTTTTGAGACACCTTACAACTTTTGTGCGGGGGTCGCTTTTGCGTTCTGGCTGAACAATTGCAACACATGTCTTAGTCTGTTACTGTATATTCTGATTTTGTGCAATATTCTTTATATTGGACATGGAGCTACTGACTAGATCGTTTCTCTTTTGTAATTAGATATGTGTAGCCTGTGTACCTTTACGTCGAATAAAATCACGCGGTCTCCGAACCCAAAAGGTGATCTTCACACTGTAAAACTGACTTGTAGGCCTGCCGAGCTTTGCTTTTGCCTCTGCTGCTGCTGTTCCAATGTGATTGACCACAGTACTGTTTCTCACTTACTTGTGCCCATCACAGCTGTTCAGCAGGTTACGGTCTTCATATGGTAGGGATGTTGTGCACAGTTTTTCTTCAGGTTCATGTCTGGAAGCTTTATTGTACTTACCCTAAATAAAACAAAGCTTGAATTCATTTACTGTGGCTTGTAGTTCATGTCAGCTATAATAATGTCGCTCTAATCAAAGTTTTTTAAAAAAACGCATTTTACTCATTAATGTACTGGAACGGGGACCCGGTGGTCGCCTCACAGTGCAGAGGTTGTGGGTTCAATCCCGGCTCCAGCCTTCCTGTGTGGAGTTTGCATGTTCTCCCCGTGCCTGCGTGGGTTTTCTCCGGGTACTCCGGTTTCCTCCCACATTACAAAACTATGTAACTGAACAAAATGGGGCTGTGAAAAATGCTGCCCATTAGAGGTGCAAAAAAACACAATCGCCCCGGAGTTGTCCAGCAGCGACAGTCAAATAGCGCCGACATTCCTCCCAATCAAAATCAGTGCTGGCACACGCGTTCTGCCAAGAAGGCGCAACTACCAAGCACAGATTCTTCTCCTTCAACGAGTGTCATGGCCAAAATGCTAAAAACAGCCCAGATCGGATCCACACGAAAGACAACAAACACCATATGACGAAATAAAAAGACAAAAACAACAAAAAAAGCAGAGCTCTTGAAGAAACCAATCAGACATAAGTTCCAATAATTTGGCTCACTTGAAAAGCTTGCTCTTCCTTGAGCTGTCGAACACATCTAGATACAAATCCCAAGAAATAAAAAGTGGACTTCTGAAATTCTCCTTCATTTTCGTCCCATTCGGTCCACAACAAATACAAAGGCATTGACCATGCCGTTCCAATCTTTTGGGTGTGGACTATAGACCATTCTTTGGATTTCATTCAGGGAAAAACGTGCAGCTGCCCACTTGATTTTCAATTTGGCGCTACAAGCTTGGTATGTCTGCCTCAAAGAACGCGAGCCGGCTTCCTCTTGTCCGCCCACTTCAGTGTGGCAAAGTTTTGCCTGCATCACCTTGCACATTTCTAGGTGCAGGTTTATGCGATCAGCAAAACTATTGCTGGCGTCGGGCCCAAACCGATGTCAAAATTTGATGAGTGTGTGTGTGCTATTTTTCTCATTTTATTAGGTTTTTTTTTTTATATTTGTAATTATTGACTCATTTTCGCGGCCCGGTAGTCCAGTGGTTAGCACGTCGACTTCACAGTGCAGGGGTACCGGGTTCAATTCCAGCTCCGGCCTCCCTGTGTGGAGTTTGCATGTTCTCCCCGGGCCTACGTGGGTTTTCTCCGGGTGCTCCGGTTTCCTCCCACATTCCAAAGACATGCATGGCAGGCTGATTGAACACTCTAAATTGTCCCTAGGTGTGAATGTGAGCGTGGCTGGTTGTTCGTCTCTGTGTGCCCTGCGATTGGCTGGCAACCGATTCAGGGTGTCCCCCGCCTACTGCCCGAAGACAGCTGGGATAGGCTCCAGCACCCCCGCGACCCTAGTGAGGATCAAGCGGTTCGGAAAATGAATGAATGAATGAATGAATGACTCATTTTCAATGTTGAAAATAGCTTGCTCTCTTTGACAATGCAAGGTTAATTGTCGAGCAAACATGCCTTTTTTGGGGGGGGGGGGTCTCCTGAAAAGCGATGATTGTGGCGATACAACAATTCGCACAAATACCACACAAATATTTAAAGCTCACTATGGAAAATTACAGTGCGTGATAAAAGTGTCTGGAAATAATATTTGGGAGATGTGAAGAGAGACAGAAACATGGCCTTGTCTTACCAAACTCAGCGCGGGAGCAATTGCGCAATCTGAGGTGAGGCTTGTCTTGCTTGTTCCCACACACTGTGTCACACGGATGTATTTGAACAGGAAATATGACAACTCTGCCGTCTTTATGATGAAAAATACAATTCAACATAAAGGACAGAGCAGAGAACTAGACTCTGAAATGTCATGTTTAATCATTATTTCTGACTCGTTATGACCCCTCCCCCCCATTGTCTGTCCTCTGCTGTTTGCTACACACTGACTTGACCCTGTTGCACATGTAAAAAGGGATAACAAGCATTTTAATGACCAAACATGAAAAACAGCAAGACATTTTGGTTTTAATCACCAAGAAAATTCACATCTTTTAAGTCTTTTTTTCCCCCCTTTACCTTATGTGAATGTATCTTGCAACATATTTTCTGCATTTATAATCTAGCGTGACGGGAGCGCATTGTGTCAGCATCTGGAAAGTAATTCAGCGGCCGTGATAAGATCGACAGGTTGATTACTGTGTCTGCTCCCACATTATCATGTCAGACTAACTTGTTTTTCTTTTTGTTTTTTTTGCCTTCCATCCTTAGCGGAGACCGTCAATAAATTTGGACACCAAACTGAAAAGTATGCACAGTCTTCTATGTACAGGAGCCTACAGTTACATCTTTTTATTTACCCAAGGAGGATTTCAGGGGTTTTCAATTCAAATTCAAGCAGCCTCACATATTGGTTTCGAATATACCACATTTAATATAGAATAGGGTTTCCACTTGGTGTGAAAACAGTTCACATTTATGACGAAGGAGGGATGTATAAAATCATCACGTCATACGTCTACAAGCGCTTACATTCTTGGGCATGGATACACAGCATACACATTTGTACATGTCTGACAAAACTCTGAAAGTATTACAGGCCTTGGCACACACTACACAAGTGTTCCGACCTGGGCATGATACTGTGAAGGATTTATCCCGCTGAGCGGCGAGGGTTTGCGAGGGTAGCGGGCTTCAGGATCTAAACATAAAAGTCTCTCTTCAGTAGCCGAAGGGCATTCAGCAAGTAGTCTGACCCATTCAGTTTCAAGTTGCAGCTAGATTTGCCCTCAGTGTCCCCGTTATGCCGATGCAAAACCAGAATTGTAAACTTCTCACCAAATAAAAAACAGTCAATGTAAAGCATCACATTCATATGGTTATGTTTCAGACCCCCTGCTGTGACACTTAATTCAAGCACGACCAATTCTCTCATCATCTGCTCAGCTCTATGCGATTCCGTTTTACACTTTGCCTGTGTGGTGTGTTGCATTTGTAATAATGCGGCAGCGGCGACGACACGGGCAAACGGGCGCCTCATTCCTTTTATGCTTCTACTTAACTGATTCTCTGAGAGGAGATCGGATATAAGAACAGGACCAGGATGATGACCAAAACGGCGAGCTTGCAGATAATTTAGTGAGAAGCACCCCGTGTAAATTAAAATATGCTGATGAATGAACAGTGCTTTGTTTTCACGACAACACTACAACAGAGACCAACAGCCATTCACACCGAAGGTCAATGTCATGTTTTCAAATAACCCTTGAAGCAACATTTTTTGGAATTTAGACGGAAGACAAAGTACAAAGAGAAGAAACGCCTGCAAACGCCGCACAGGAGGGCCAAAGCCTGGATTCGAACCCTGTCCAATAGAACCGCGTGTCGCATTTGCCAACCACTCACTATTGCGCTGCTGTTGGAAGCATAGAATAAAAAAACATGCTGGTATGACGGAAAGCTGAGCGCGCAGCGAAATGAAGGCCTCCAGCATCATTGACTGATTGGCTGAGGTGTGTCTCAATACATTTGTCCATGCAGTGATGGGAACGTTGTTTGAAGCATGTAAATTATAAGGGTCAAGTGTAATTTTTCTGAACCAGTATTTCTTCCACGTTAAAAGTAATCTTAACACTATGATCAAGTAGCAACACAGGCGGATGACAATATATGAGAAGAATAACTAAACAACACTAGCGTAAAATGAAACAAGATCAATTTGTAGCGTCATTTTCCAAACGTCAAAGCTGAGCTGCAGTAATCTTGCCTCCATCCACAGAAATGAGAAATGTCACATGAAGTCAACTCGTCGTGAGTACAGCAGTCAACAGTCCGCTTCACAATTTTTACTCTGATGGAGCTCAATTCCTCAAAGCCTCACTTTTATGTTGCGCTGCGCCACACAGCCAACATTTTTTAAAGACACATTTTGCAAGATGAGAACAATAACAGACAGTAGATGCGGCATGTACCTGTCAACTTTCAACCAGCATTCTGGAGTAACCAGAAAGCACATTACTGTCAGCACACCAAAATCTGATTATCACCAGATGTACAGTACAACAGTTAATAAGTTAATAAGGCAAGCTATGTGGGTACAATGCAAATACTGCAATTATGGATTCGGATCTACATAAATCTGACAATTAGCAATGATGCAAATCGAGGGAATGGCTGGTGCGCTTGACCAATGAATGGTATAAGGCAGATATTGTTTTGTAAACATTAGTCCTATTCCGGTATCCTCTGATACGACACGGGCTCAACGTCTAACGGCCGAGTGTACAAATGTTAACGAGAGAGCCTATGACAAACCCAGAATAGGGGTGACATGTACGGGAAACTCAAACTCAACTCAACTCAAATGTATTTATAGAGCACTATCAAACAGCCATCGCTGCACACAAAGTGCTGTACATGGAGCAACTAACAAATACAACAGTAAAGCAAAGCAACAAATCAGTAACAAAGACGGTAGAGGGCAACAAACAGTATAACTAAGATCATAATTTGGGTCATGCTGAGTCAGATGCCAAACAATTTAAGATTGGTAAAAATAAGTTACAGCACGGGTCAGTAAATATTGGAAGTAGGTACAATGTGTCCCAGAAGTCACTATGCACATTTCTGGTATAATTCAGACACTGAACAGGCCATCAGCATTTGACAGCTTGGGCTTTGTAGGTTTTTTTTTTTGTTAAGTACTTTGTTTCCTTGCATATAGCTCGACACCTGGAGCAGCATTGCAAAGTTGATGAAATGCGGCAAATGATACTCAGCAATGTGAAGTTGGAAGAGGCTTGACTGTGTTGCGAGCCGAAACGTGTTTTGAATCAAGACTTTGCAGTAACGACTGCTCAAAGAGCTTGGCGGTTTTTATCAGTGGTGGTCGTAGAAATGTCTCTGCTGCATGGTTTGTCAGGAACGTGTTTCAAGAAGGTTGCCATTCTTAGCATGAAATGTATCAGTTCCCGGCTCCTCAGGACCTGCTCTGACCAGCTGTGTGACATTGTCCAGCACATGTTCAACCTGAGCCTGAAG